TCGTTGGAATAATTTCTGAATTTTTGCCGGTGTCGTTACGGTCTGAAGTATGTTTTTTGGTGGTTGATTGTGAAGGAGAAGATGAAAAGTACTTGGTTAAATTGTTGAGAACAGAACCTGAATTTTCTTGAGAGGTTGACATTATTTTGTGTGTGGAGTGTGGGGGGATAGTGTAATGAATTTATTTTTTTGGTTTTTGTAAGAATTTTTGTATATTTTTGGTTTTTTCGTATTTTTTGAGAAGTAATTGAAATAAAGATTGAAATATTGAAATAAAATCTATAAAATTGATATCTGTGTGAAGCTTGATAGTAGGAGAAGAGATTTTGTATATGTTATTAGTGAGCTAAATATTATAGTAAAGGAGCTATTTGGCCTTTTCGTTTCTTGTAGTGTGGCTTAGTCCATGGACGAGGGATCTACATGGACAAGATGCGAAAAGAGTTTTTATTATTATTATTATTATTATTATTATTATTATTATTATTATTATTATTATTATTATTATTATTATCAAGATCTGCTAAAAAATTAATAATAATTAATAAAGAAGATATTTTTATAAATATATTATTTTTGACTATTTTTTTTTGTAAATAATCTGAAAGCAAAAACAAATAATAATAAGCCAAAAAACAAATTGAAAAAAATAAATTAAAAATAAAATTAAATAATAAACTAAATACAATAAAAATAATAATAATAATAATAATAATTATTATTATTATTATATTATAGAATTAGAGTGCGACTATATAGCAAATAGAAATAAGAATTATTATATTATTTCAAAAAATAATAATAATTAAAGATAAGTTAAATAATTATTTCTGTTTATTTTTTTATTCTATTTTTATTCTGTTTTTATTTCTTTTTTATTAGAAATTAGAAGCAATAAGTTTCAGAATATAAAGACTAAAAAGTTAAAATTTAAAGAAAATAAGTAATAATAACAATAAAAAAATTATAATTTATTTACAAAAAGAATTTAAAAAAATAGTATTATAATCAAAATTATTTATATTTTATTTAACAATTTTAATAATTTAATTAAATTAAATTATTTAATTTTTATATTTTTATTAAACAAATTAAAATTATATAACTTTTATATGTAATTTTGATAACTTTATTCTAAATATATAAAATTAATTAATTATATTATTATATTTATATTTATATTTATATTTATATTTATTATATATTATTAAACTATTAATTAGATTATCAAGAATATTAATATTATATTGCTTAAAATTATTTATATTATATATATTTTTATATTTTTATATTTGATAATTTCAATAATAATATAGTCATTTAATTAATTACTAATTAATAATTAATAATTAGTAATTTATCTGATTAATTATTATTATAAAAAAAGATAAAATTAATTCTATCACATATATAATTTATATACTAAATAAATAAAATAAATAATAAAAATCTATTTATAAAATAAATAAAATATATTTATTATATATATATCTTGAGATTATATAACTTATTATAAATTGATTTATTGAAAGTATAAAATATTAAATATAATTAAAAACAAGTTATAATTATCAAAAAGAATCAAAAAAATAAATCGTAATAGTTTTTTGTATTTACTTTTGTTTTTAAATTAGATTTCTATTGATTTAACTTGAATTTTGTTTTAATAAATATTTATATTTATTATTTTTTATTTCAATTTTATTTTTATTTCTTTTTTTATTATTAATTCTAATGAATATAAAAATATTTATATATAAAAATATTTAAATATAAATATATAAAATATATAAATATATAAATATAAAATATTTAAATATATATATAATTATAATAATAAATATAGTCAAATTTCTCTATAATTATTACTTTCAGAACTATAGAGAGAATATGACTATAGAGAAATTTTTTTACTATATTTATATATAAATGAAAAAGCAAAGTAAGGTAATTATAGAGTAGTATAATTATAAATAAATATAAATATAGAAAGATTTAACTATATAATTTTTATATTTAAAAAAAGATTTGTTCAACTTTTATTTATATTTTGATTATATTTCAACAAAAACTATTTAATTTTTACTTATATTTTGAAAAAACAAAAAATTATATATTAAATTTTCACTTATATTCTAATTATATTTCAAAAAATCTATCTAACTTTTACTTATATTTTAAAAAATAAAAAAATTATTTAATTCACTTATATAATTAAATCTCTTTATAATTATTACTTTTAATAAATCAAAATTTAATGATTATAAAGTAAATATAATTATATAGAGATTATAAAATTATATCTAATATATTTTTTATCAAAAATTAAAATATGTTAAAAAAGATTTGTTTAATCTTAGCTTTAATTATATATTATATAATAGTTATTTTCACTTTTTTAATAATTATAAAAAAATTATAGTTATCTATAAGTTGAAAATAAGTAATTTTAAAAAATTTTTATTATTAGTCTTAAATTTTAAAAATATTTTATAATAAAATTACAGAATTAATTAAAAGATTAATCAAATATTTTGAGCAATTGTAAATTAAAATTACAAATTTTATATTATATTGATTAAAAATATGCTATATTTTCAGTTTAGCTTAGAAAAAGAGGGGTTAAGTAGGGCTCCAAAAAGCTCAGTTTGTTGATTCACATATGACTCACATATATATAATTTAATTAATAGGGTTTAAATCTATATTATTAAACTATATATAAAATTTTAGCTTGAGAGGCTTGAGAGCTGGCTCGTTAGAAGCCCTAGGGTTAAGCTTATAAGAAATTAGACAAATAATATTTCATTTATTATAATCAGTAAAAATTCTAGAACAATCTGATTTTGATAGATCATTAAAGGCATCATGAGTATCTTTTTTTGCTTTATTCTTATAATAATGAATTGGAAAACATTTTTGTAAAGAATATTCTTTTTGAATTTGGGCTCTTTTTTAATGAGAATATGTGCTATAATAATTTGAATGATATGAAATAAAAGAATATATTAGATATCATATATATATATATAATATGCATGTTATTTATTTTTGGAAGGAAAAGTGATTAAAAGAAGTGTGCATTGATGGATTTGGCGTAAATAAAGACCAAGTGATGTTACATTTATTATTTAAATTACCAAAGTGATTTATATACTTAGATTTTGTTACGTTTTCTTTTTTGATGTGTTTATATGCTTTATTTTTGGGAGGAAAGACGATTAAAAAAAAAGTGCATTGATGATTTGGCGTAATAAAGATCAAGTGATGTTACATCTATTATTTGAATTACCTAATACTAAGTGATTTACATACGTTTTTTTTTGATGTGTTGATACGTATTGTTGGAAGGGAAAGCGATTAAAGTGCATTGATGGATTTGGCGTAAATAAAGACCAAATTATCTATAAAATTCCAATATGGTTAGTGTGTTTTCGGAAAATTCTACAGTAATAAAGATTAATGTTAAAGTTGGTTTTAAGGTTAGGGTTAGAGGCAGAGAACAAGATTATATGTAAAATTGTCTTCCCGACATTTTTTATTAGCACTCCAGACCAGATTTAGGTATTTGTTTCTTGTATTTTTTACATTCTCGCATTTTTGTTTTGCCGGGTTGATCAAAAATTTATGCTTTCTTATTGGCTGTTATTTGATCTAACCAAAACAGATTGGGGTGTACATAGATGCACTCAGTACATGTATGGGTAATTTACGTAATACGTACATGTAATAGGCACTTTATTTTTGGGATTAACAAAAGCGCATTGAAGTGCATGTTAATTTTACATATACGTATACTTAAATTTTGTTACGTTTTTTTGGCTTTATGTTTGGGAGAGAAAGCGATCAAAAGAAGTGATGTTTCAACTGTACATGTATATGTACTTATGTACCAATTTTACAGTCGACTCTCGGATATAACGACCATGCAATTTATATTGTTTACAATAGGATCTGCATGGTCGTTGTATCGAGAGTCGGCTGTATATATCTGTGGCGCAATTGATGAAAATTAAAAATACAAAACGCGTATTTTTATATAAATATTGCTATGATTAATCTCCCAATCCCTTACCTTACCTTCAAAATAGAAGACAAAATAAAAATGAACAATTTCGAATATTTATCGGAAATTGAAAGAAAACTTCTAAATAAATGTCCTTATTCTCTAACTCTTACAATTGAAGAATTAACAAAGCCTGCCAAGAAAATTCGCAATAAACCACCACGACCACAAAACAGTTGGATTATCTTTCGAAAAGATTTTGAAGCTAATATACGTCTACGTAGTCCTGGTGTTAAACAAAAAGTCAAAAACACAGCAAATGAATGCAGCTTAAAATGGAAATTGCAATCAAGTGAAGTCAAGAATCTTTTCAAAATATTAGAGAAAATAGCTTGTGAGAATCATAAACGTATATACCCTAATTATAAATATAAACCAAAAAATCCAAAAAATCTAAACTGTAAAGAACTTCGCTTTCGAGAACAGAAAAAATATGTATTTCCTTCGTCAGTTAAGTTCAACGCAACAAATTTTAATTTACCTCGGGAAACGATGCAAATCGACGGTACGTCGCCATCTTTAACTTCCAATTCACCTCAAGAAGTAATACAAATCGATAGGTCGCCATCTTTAGCTTCTAACTCGCCTCAAGAAGCAATAGAAACTGACGGGTCGTCATTAACTTTCAATTTACAAGCTGACATGTTGTCATCATTAACTTCCAATTCACCCCAAGAAATCAACAGGGCGTTATCTTTAACTTTCCATTCACAAATCGACAGGTCGCCATTTTTAACTTCCGATTCGCCTCAACAAATAAATGGGTCGTCATCACTCTCGACAACCATTGATAATCACCAAGATACGAATAACTTTACAACAATTCATAATCATCAAGACTATAATGATTTCACAATCAACGACGCTCAAAATTCGATCGACGACGCGCTATTTTTCTTCTCTCAGAATAGTAATAATATTCACGACAATGATATTAATAATATTAATAACAACAATAATGATATAACTAAAACTTCAATGCTAAACCCATTCATCACCAATATTCCAATAACTCCGCTGATATCTTCCCCCTTAACGCAGCCACAATCACTCTCACAACTATATATGACAGAAAATGATTTATCAAATGGCCTTTTTGAAAATTTGCTACATGTATATTATAACTTCACTTAATAATTTATACTTAATTTCGTTTGAATGATAAAATGTGCTGGACGCATTTACTACGTAAATTTACTCTCTTTTAAGCCTTTTTCAGCTTCCTCATTCATAATCTATTCTTTTATACACCAAATAGACAATGTTTTATTAACTTGTGCGTTCTTTCGTTCTTTCATTACTTCGATACTTACTTCGTTACTTCGTTACTTCGTTAATTCGTTAATTCGTTCTGTTCTCTCAGTCTTTTGTTTTTATTCTCTAGCTTGTTATATTTTACTTTATTTTTTCTAGTTATTATTAAGCTTTTCTAAATAAACAAAAAGAATCGAAATATTAATTGAGACATCAACATGAACAAATATATTTCTTCATCTAAAATAACTGTAACCTTCTGGATTGAAGATGCATATACAACCCTCAAAATGTACTTGCAAACATCGATGAGAGACCTTCTTTAACAATAAATAACCAAAATAGAAAGATTGATACAATAGTTGCATTAGAGCACATTTGTCTTCCAGTTTTTGCATATAACAATTCATTTTAAATAATTTTAATATCTGTACTTAAAAAGTGAATGAACAGTATCAAAAGGTAAATTGCACTATTAAACAGGAATCCTTATTATCATATACCAGATATTTCTTGAGAGTAATGGAACTATCTTGTACTCATAATATCCAATATCTCAGAAGCAACCAGAACCTAATGCTCGATGATATTTATGAGTATTGGTGGATCCTAGAGCATACATTAATATTACAAGTTGAAGAAAATGAAATACATTACAACTCCTTTACAAAATTTACAAAATAAATATCAAGAATGGCCAAATCATCAACAAGTGATCACAGTCATTGTTGAACAATATAATTAATACTTCATTAACAGTTTTACAAAATCCTCAAGTAGTTCATACTAGAAAATGTTCTTCTAGTTGCTCTAATTATTGATCAACCAACTCAACTAAAAGAGATTCTTCTGGATTTGAGTTAAATCATAAAGTGCAACAATACACTCTTTGCAAACAACCTGATTATGCTCACACTTGTCCAAACTCAAATAAAGTTTTAGTTAGTTAATTATAAAAAAATATAATCTGGTGCAAAAAGATTCATACCTCAAATAATTATTAATAAATTATTTTTTTAAAATAAAATTTTAATTCTATTCATTTAATTAAGTCATTAAATATTAGGATTTATTTTAATATATATATTTTAATGAATTTTGTAAATTATTATTATGCTCAGAAAAGGTCTATTTTATCATAATCACAGATTAAATTTTGCAATTACTTCTTAGTATTCATTTTATAAAATATAAACGTTTGATGACTTTAGATGTTATGCACCATATCCGATTCAATTGATATTTTTTGAATCGCAGTATTATTTTATATTTTGTCATGATAAAAAGTACTAATTTATGATATTTTATGTTATAGAGCAATCTTATATTAATAAACTATCGAAATCAAAAGAAATATATACAGAATTGACTCGATGATGATTATGAATATAGGAACAGGGTTGATATAGTACAAGAATTTCATTAATAAATTTAATATGAATATTGAAGACATCTCTGTTTACGCAGATATAATAAATCAATTTACTTTTTCTTATTTCTTAAACCGTCCAGCGGGCAAATTTTCCCGCTAAAATGGTTTTTTTGTACATTTACGCCTAATTTTTATAAGTTTAACCCTCCCTTTCTAAGCTAAAATAAAAATATAGCCTATTTTTAATCAATATAATCTAAATTTGTAATTTTTATTTATAAATTG